AATAAAAGTGTACAAATAAAGGAGTGGTATAGCCTCTGACCATTTTCACTTTCCTTTGTTCCCTAGCCACTCCATCCTGCTGCAGAAAATATCCTTTACTTCCAGATACAGAGATGCATGGGACTCCCTATGTGACAGCGCTAGTGTTTAATTTAGTGCCATCACATAGGGGGCAGCAATCCATATTGAGCATCGGGGCATTAAAGTTACTTTGCCCTACATGGGGGGTTGGCGAGACAGTCAGACATATAAGCTCCAGCTGGCGATCTAATTTGAGTATTAGGTCATTAAAGTGACCCGTTTGCTTTGTCCTGCATTAATAAATTGAAGGCTCTCTTTGAGCTATAACAATTCTCATAACTGTTGTGTTCCTTAATAAGAGCTTGCTGGAAATAACACATGCATTACTGATTGTGTTAAAACTTTATTATATTTGACCATACCTGGCATACTATTTTAAGTGCTATATGAATCTTAGGATAGGTTTAGTCTAGAAGTTAAAATAAAATTGTTCATTGAAAAGGAAGGACTGGGGTTTATGTGGTGAAGAAAGTGATCTCTATGGGGGAATTCTTACCAGGGTTGCAGTCTGTGAGCAGTGAACAGATGGAAAGGAGAACTTTAGAAATGGTTAATGCTGGGCTCCAGTTATCTTTCAGGATATCGAGACAGATGACTCCTTGACTGTTAATGTTGCAGTGGTAGATCCTCGTCCGAAATGTCACCTATAATATGGGCCAGAGGAGGAAGAAAATAATACAAGTTAGCATCTTCTCATTAGGTGATTAAAAAGTGAAGGATATTGAAGCATCTGTATTTGACAAAACCTTATGTTCTGCCTTTTCCATTGACTTATAAAGCAGCAGAACAGACAAAGAAACGCTCCGGTACATGAATCCTTATCCAAAGCCTATAAACTTAATACATCTGAAGTACTTTATTATGGCTACACATCAGGTCAGTGCTTTGAGAATAAACATTCAAATGTAACAAGTGCTACATAAAGCCCGGCTTGGTTGTCCACTACCCTCATTGAAATAAAACATTTTTGCTGATGGTTGCTGTAGGAAATATTGGCCAAAGCAGAGGGAATTGCATTCATTGCTCCTAAATGTAAAATAATACACAGGGAAAAGAATCCTTCATAGGAGTACAATAGAATGTTGGCCAGGACTACAGAAGAAATACAGGTGAAACTCAAATAATTAGAATATCGTGCAAAAGTAAACAGAATCCAGGCATCATAGAAAGCAGATAAAATCCTGGGGGACTTCCCTAAAGGGATCAGCAGGAGGAAGGAAGTCCTGATTCCAATATATACAGGACAGATTTGTTGGTAGCTTTACAGCTTATTAAAACAAAGCTTCATTGCTCCTGAAGAGTGATAAAAATGAAAGCAATTGTCTCATGTACACCCGCAGGTGTCTGTATGTCATGGAGCAAAGAGTGTGGAAAAGAGGTCAATTATTCCTTATAGTACAAAGATATTCTGAAATGGCCTGGACAGAATTGTTGGTACCCCAAAAGATTATAAATAACTGATCATAGCAATATTTCCAACTAGTTAATGTATATAATTCATATCACACGCCTTCTTGTAATTAGTAAGCCTATTAAAATGGAGAAATGTAGTCTCTGTGCCGTTTGGTATCGTGTGCACCACACTGAAAATGGACCAGTGAAAGCAAAGGAGAGGGAGAGTTGTCGGAGGAGATAAAGGAAACTATAGACCAGCATGTCAAAAGGTAAAGGCTGCAAGACCATCTCTAAAAGCAGCTAGATGTTCCTGACTATAGTTGCAAATATAATGACTACGTTTAAGCTCCATTGTAGTGTAGCCAACCTCCCTGGATGTGGCCACAAAGAGGAAAACCAGCCCCAGATTGAACAGAATGATAATGCGAATGGTAGACATAGAGCCAAGAATAACTTCTAAAGTGATACAAGCTGAACTCCAAGGTCAAAGTACAGCAGTGTCTGATCCCAGCATCCAATGCTTTTTCATTGACAGTGGGCTCAAAGGAAAAAGACCCAGGAGGACTGTTAAAAGAAAAACATAAAAAGCCACACTGAAAGTTGCCAAAATGCATGCTGACAAGCCACAATTTTTCACAGGCGGAAAAAAAAAATTAAGATAAAAATAAATAATGAAAGGCTCTTAGAAAAGGAATGGTTCCGTTAGGTTTTGGGGCTGCTTTGCAGAAGTCTCACTGAGAGCTACAGGAATCACATTCTTTTTTTTGGCAGTGATTGCCTCGAAGCTGCGCAACAAAATATTAAGGTAAGGGTTCCATCATTTTTGTCTATGCCATTTTCACATTTTCATTGTTTTATATGGAATACAAAAAGGATGGATTCTTTATTTGATCTTCTCAGAGAAAACTGTGCGTTCTTTCTGCGTGGAAGGGTACCAACAAATCTGTCCATGTTTGTAGTTACTTAGAATACTGTGCCCAGCTCATCAACAACAAAAGCCTGAAGAGAAGAAGCAACAAAATGCTGCAAGATTTTAGGGAAAGAACATATCAGGAGAGACTGTAGAGCTTAAATATTTACATTGTCAAGGAAAGAAGGGGCATGACTGAACTCTTTAAAGGAGAACTATGTTTTTCCACATAGTTCTCCAAAGGGTAACGGGAGGACACAAACTAGCGTCCTCCCGTCACCCAAAGTTCAGTAGACGGCGAGCTACAGCTCACCATATACTTAGACCGCCGCAGCCGGGACGGACTCCGACATTACTGTCTGGATCCACCCAGCTGCGGGATTGACAGCTGGCTCTGCCTATCTAGAGCAGAGCCAACGCATGACAGTTTCATTGTCACACGTCGGCTCGAACTAGGAGGCTAAGTGATTTTCACTCGCCTCATAGTTCTTCTTTAAATGAATTAAGGGTGTGAGGTTCAGGAGGACAGTTTTTTTAATATGAAGGGAAGATCAAGAACATAGGCACCTCAAACTAGATGGAATCATGTTAGAAAGTATATTTCTGCCAAAAGAAATTGTGGATGCTTGGTACAGACTATCAGACGAGCCAAATTAGGAAGTCTGAATTTAAAATGTTCCTGGGACAGACTCATATTTTTTAAATAATAATAATTTCAGACTATTAATTGCCTGGTCCTCTACTGCGGTCAGGCTTCGGTTTTATTTTCTAGATGACATTTTTGCCCCAAGCAACCACAAGTCTGACTAAAAGCTTTGAGACGAGTACAATTCTTACTTAGCACATGCTGGTAATGGTGGGGGAGGTAATTCAGTCCCAATTCACTGCCGTAAAATAGCTAATTAAAACAATTTCAAATCGTAAGGGTCATTATTTTTGTATTTGTAACAGTCTTCTGACCTCTTGTGGTGAATCTGATGAACTACAATTGTAACCTAGTTAATGCTTTCTGTTGTATAGTTATACACAAATCCAGTTCTCCAGTTTCAGCATTAGATATATAGCACAAGTACTTGTTACATTCTGTACAGGTTATTTAAAATGACCTATTTCAGTCTATAGCCAGATTGCTCCTCCAAGAAAGTCAAAAGAAAAATTAAAAAGGAGAACTATGAGGCGAGTGCTTTTCACTCACCTCATAGTTCTAGCCGACCTGTGACAATGAGACTGTCACAGGTCGGCTCAGTAGATCAGGAGGTGAGCGAACACCTACCGGCGTTCGCTCCCCTCTCGATCCTGTCACGGCTCACTGCCGTGACAGGGGAGGGGCTGGATTCCCCTCTCTCCCCGCTCCGCCAGCGCTGACTGGCGGAACTGATGGGGGAGGGGCGGGTACAGCTGGCTCTGCCTTTAGATAGGCAGAGCCAGCTGTCAGTCACGCAGCTGGGCAGATCCCGGCACAATTGTCGGGATCCGCTTCAGCGTCTCAGTATACCGCGAGCAGCTGCTCGCGGTATACTGCGGCGTCTCATTATACCACGAGCTACAGCTCGCGGTATACTTAGCCTAGGGTGACGAGAGAACGCTAGTTTGTGTCCTCCCGTTACCCTGAGAACTATGGGGAAAAGACTTAACCCCATAGTTCTCCTTTAAAGTTTCTCTTCCATAAACCAGAACAGTGCTGCTTGAATAGGGGATTTGTCTTTTTACAAGAATCTTCCTTCCTCACCTCAAGTTACTGCCTTCCAGCTTTCCCCCAAAGTCTGCACAGAGACCAAGGTAAGATTCAATAAGCGGTCAGGTTTACTGTAGAATGTTTCATCCTTGGAGCAAGGGGATACTTGCCAAGGGTGCTGCATGTCTACAGACTAGGACTGATCATTAGATTGTAGTAATAGCAAACTACTACTTACAGTGCAAGTCTGGGCAAAATTAGGTGAAAAAATATATCCGCTAATCTCTCAAATGCGGATATTGTTATGCTGCAAAGTTTATTTGTAATGTATTCTCTGCACTGTATGAGCAGTATATGCTCTATATGTACTACATATAGAGTACATATAGAGTACACACTGCAGACAATACATTTACAATTATACTCTGCTAACATGAATGGATTAAATGATCTGTATGTAGCCCTGTACTATGGATCATTTAACCCATTAATTCTGCAGTGCAGAATTGTATATCTATATGTACTGTACATATACAGCACAAATGTCCCGTACATTGCAGCATTAGATTTACAATGATCCCCTGCTAACATGAATGGGTTAAATGATCCATAGTACATGATATGTAGCCCCGTGCTATGGATCATTTAACCCATTAATTCTGCAGTGCAGAATTGTATATCTATATGTACTGTACATATACAGCACAAATGTCCCGTACATTGCAGCATTAGATTTACAATGATCCCCTGCTAACATGAATGGGTTAAATGATCCGTAGTACAACTACATGTTATGTACTATGGATCATGATTTAACCTATGCATGTTAGCAGGGGAGAATTGTAATTCTATTACCGCAGTGTACAGGACATGTGTGCTGTATTTGTACTATGGATCATGATTTAACCTATTCATGTTAGCAGGGCAGAATTGTAAGCGCCTCCCACAAGCTGAGCACCGAGATGCGATGAAGCGATCCTGCCCAGCGACGACTACGAGAGGCACCGCGTGAGGCAACAGGGATCGGCGTGAAACTGTGAGTGAGGGAAGCTGGGACGGGGCTGGCTGTAAATCTATTGCTATAGTGTACTGGACGTGTGTAGTGTGTGTGTAGTGTATATGTAATATATATATATATATATGACACACAGCACATACCTCCACTACACTCCAGCAATAGAGTTACAATTCTCCGCTGCTAACATGAATGGGTTAAATCATGATCCATAGTACAAAACATGTAGTTGTACTATGGATCATTTAAAGTCACCTGTCCCTTTAAGAAAAAGTATCGGTAATTGGTATCGGCAAGTACATGAGGGGAAGTACTTGTACTTGGTCCTGGAAAAAGTGGCATCGGGACATCCCTAGCCAATACAGTGCGACGCAGTAGCGAAGTTCCCCAAGCAGCCATCCTCTGTCCAACTGAACAAATTACTACATGGAAGGTTTTAAAACTACAGAGACATTCCCGCTGACGTCACCTGGTTGCACGTTAGTGGTCTTTACCAGTTTAATACATAGCTTTGTGACAAAGAAAGGTGAACAGGAAGGAAGGACTTACCTTAGGAGGTTTGAATGGGTATTCAGGGGTGAATGTAATGTCCAGGAAGAAAACACCTCCTTCATACACAGAGCCAGGGGGACCCAAAATAGTAGACCGCCATTCATATATATTGTCTCCTTTTGGACCAGCGCTGTATATGGGAAATTAAGAACATATGATCATTTGTATCCATAAAAGTATATTTGTTAAACCAAACTGCATCAAATACAAATTCACTTTAAAATAGCAAACAGTGTCCAGATTTCTGGACCATAAAGCCTTAAGGAACGTAAGAGAAGGATCATAGAAAATAGAAGAACCAGCACATATTTAGATCTACCTAAATGGCAGCATGCCAATGTTTGATATACTGAACATAAGAGCTATCTATAGAGCTGTAACATCTATTAGACGTCTTCTATTTGCAGTTTATGTCTTTTTGGAAACAAGTCCACTTTACAGGATTTTTTAAAACATTTTTATCAGAATATCACTTTCCAAGTGGAAGGTTAACAGGTTGGTGCAGTGGATATTAGGAGCTTGGCATGTACTGTGAAGGTGCCCATACACCTTACGATCAGACGATTTTCGTATGTGATCGACTTTTCGTCCGTTAAATCGTATGTGTGCATTGCAGTGTCCGACCGACATTACTGTACAATCGTACGACTTTTGACGGTCAAGCATGTTTGAAAAACTTTGCTAGATCGTACGATCGTCGTAAGGTTGCTGGCGTTTCCGTCCGTCAAAAGTCGTACGATGTACACTGCGCTTGCTCTAACGAAAATACGTCAAATCAATTACTGCATTTCGTCGAGGTGCTTTTGGTTAATTACGGCTAAATGATTCTTGCGATCATCGGGGCAGGATGGGGCTGCCGTACGAAAATTGTACGAGGATTCGATCATTGGACGAGAAGTTTCGTCCGATAATCGTAAGGTGTATGGGCACATTAAGACATATATCTCTCAGTTATTTACATCTCTTGGGCACTCCAGTGGTGAGATCTCTGCAATTACATTTTTGGGTCAGTACACCTGCAGGATGTCGTGAAACTAAAAAAGGTAGGAGGGCACACCCAAAAAACTCCTAAATAGGCAGGAATGGTCAAGGATTATGGCTGGGAGGTCTTGCTGTTGAAGCATCTAAAGCTGGCCAGTGCACCGCGTTCTATAAAATGGCGCAGGAACTATTCTCCATTGGTTGAGGTATATCGACAGCCCATTCAGTAGGATCAGGCTGCGTAAAATAACGTGCATGAAAATACTCGCGGCAACGTGCACACAATGTTAATGAGCCCCCCTACATAATGATGAATACGATTTCAGAACAGCCAAAACAATTTCAATGGAATTTTGAGGGTGGGGTAAAAAAAGATGTATACAAATCAGACTTGAATAACATGTTCCACCTCCTATAAACTGTAGGCGCACTTGAACAATGTTACCACAATGAAGTGAAGTTGAAGTGATTACTGCAGCCTGCACACCATTGTTGTTTGCAGCAGGCCTGGAAAAGTGGCAACCAGGACACAGCCAGCGCAATGGTATGGTAAAATGCAGACTGGATAAAATATGCAGAAGGCCGATTGTTGGATGCGTTGTAATATAAAGGAGACCGTGAAATCTGAGCTGTAAAAAGAACTGCTCACCAGTCAACACAAAGCGTCACATCATAAAACCTGCAAAGAGACAGATGGGAATTCCACGCTGACATTCGATAATATATTTATCCATTGCCAACGCTTATGATTTTCCCCTCGCACGTTTCAAAATACACAGAGCTTGCAGCAAGCCTGAAACTCAAGACCGATGGCAAGGTCACCATTCAGACAAGGACCCCGCTAGGCTGCAGTCACTCAAGCAGACCATTTCCTGCACATGTATTCTAGAAGCTGTAAAATGTACCGTGATCAAAATGCCATTGGCCGAGGTCTGCCTAAATCTTCAGCTCCTTACTCCGAACAAAACATTTTGTTTTCCTAACAAGCAGGAAACCGTTTTGACACACACACACAAAAAAGCACATTGGGCATGATTACCCGTTACAAGTTTGTCTAGAGGGCAAACACTTCTAAATTTGCAGCCACCTACACCACGCTCATACAGACCAATGGTAAATAGAACCGTAGTGTGAAGAGTGGACCAAAACTACAGCTTCATACTGCTAAGCACACGGCCATTGTAATGGCAGGACCCGCAATCACCCCCTATGCCAACGCTTCTCATTTCATGTCACTGTAGGCAGTGACCTTGATGGGTAACATCTTGCACAAAGGAATGCAGAAAGATTACAGCCATTTCCAACCTACTTTGCTATAGAAAATGGAGATCCTTAATAAAGGGCAAGTGCAACAAAAAGAATCAGCAGCACCAAACAACCCATCTTGCCTGTTCTGCTAGGGGCCAGTGCAGCCTTTATCTGCTTGGTACCAGGCTGAGAATGGGGAAAGGCCAGAAGAGAAACCACCATGTATGTGTCTGTCTTTATTGGGATTGGTACTTTACAAAATATGCGTGAGGATGCCAGAGTGTAGGGTGGAGTGATGGGTGCAGACTGGTGGAGTGGCATCATGGAAGCAAAGCTCCCTTAGAAAGAAAATACAGCAGTTAACCCTTGCAGTACAGGGTAGCCTACCTGAAAGGCTATTCCCTTCCCCAAAGATGGGCAGTACAGGGTAGCCTAACTAAAAGGCTATTCTCCCACTTACCTGGAGATGGGCAGTACAGGGTAGCCTACCTGAAAGGCTATCCTCCCCCTTCCCCAGAGATGGGCAGTACAGGGTAGCCTACCTGAAAGGCTATTCCCTTCCCCAGAGATGGGCAGTACAGGGTAGCCTAACTAAAAGGCTATCCTCCCCCTTCCCTGGAGATGGGCAGTACAGGGTAGCCCAACTGAAAGGCTATCCTCCCCCGGAGATGGGCAGTACAGGGGAGCCTACCTGAAAGGCTATCCTCCCCCTTCCCTGGAGATGGGCAGTACAGGGTAGCCCAACTGAAAGGCTATCCTCCCCCGGAGATGGGCAGTACAGGGGAGCCTACCTGAAAGGCTATCCTCCCCCTTCCCTGGAGATGGGCAGTACAGGGTAGCCCAACTGAAAGGCTATCCTCCCCCGGAGATGGGCAGTACAGGGGAGCCTACCTGAAAGGCTATCCTCCCCCTTCCCTGGAGATGGGCAGTACAGGGTAGCCCAACTGAAAGGCTATCCTCCCCCGGAGATGGGCAGTACAGGGGAGCCTACCTGAAAGGCTATCCTCCCCCTTCCCTGGAGATGGGCAGTACAGGGTAGCCCAACTGAAAGGCTATCCTCCCCCGGAGATGGGCAGTACAGGGGAGCCTACCTGAAAGGCTATCCTCCCCCTTCCCTGGAGATGGGCAGTACAGGGTAGCCCAACTGAAAGGCTATCCTCCCCCGGAGATGGGCAGTACAGGGGAGCCTACCTGAAAAACATACGATCTGCCCATCTTGGACAGGCAGATCGTACTTGCGTTGACCGCAATGCTGAATGTGCAGTGTGCGCACACTGGCCCATTCGGCATTTGTCTCCCGAGCATGCCACAAACCAGCCGAAAATCGTAAGATTTTCGGCTGGTTTTCGAACATGCTCCTTAGACAAAAGCCATGCGACCGTACAGTAAAAACGGATGCACGCCTGCCATACACTTTGCGATCATACGATCGCAGGATTTCCCGCGATTATCGTGCGATAATCGCACAGTGTATGGGCACCTTTAGAGATGGCTCTTCGTTTTAGTGAAACCCCCTAAGGCCCAGGTCACACTTGGGCGGTCTGTGACTGTGTACGAACCTGCTCGGATGGCCGCATGATCACACACAACCGCTGATCGTGCTTGCGGTGTCATTCATTTCTAATGGCACCCCAATCGAGGCCGGCAAAACGCAATGTTTTCCACTGTGATTCCACCTGTGCAATCACGCACACAAAAAACCACCACAAAATGTGCGTCGTGAAAAGAAAAAAAGGAGGTACATGTACCACTTACAACCCCATTGAAGCAAATGGGGCTGCACGGCTAACACTGTACAACCACACAAGAACACGCGTTCCTGAGACACGCGTCCTGGGGTGGCTACAGTGTGAACCAGGCCCAAATCTATCCACTTACACAGATGTTATGTAAAACAGACATGCATAGGAAAACTACGTTTGATTAAGCCATTTTAGACGCCATCTGAAGATTATCATAACTGTGCTCATGTAAAGAAAATGCGTTTTTGTTCCCTATAGTAGCTTCTAGTCTCTTTTCTCCAACGCGGGCCTGGAAATAAAAGGAATCATCATCTGGGTTTCTGTGGGCAATAAGAACACTATTCCTTCTGAGCTATTTTCATAAACAAAGCCTAATGTCTATGCGTTCAGAGTGACTTCCAATGGTTAATGTGGGTGTGTAATGACTGCATCCGTCACTATACGCATTCATTATCTGCTTGCTTTTATAGCCCTCTACACAATCTGAATGTTCAGCGTAGTTGCCAAACAGCGCAGCAGATTACATTTATCTGTACGAATCCATGTCTAGATTAAACAATGGCAAAGCTGGCCAATCAAACCTTCCATGCCGATATACTGCAATTCATAATTTGAGGAAAAGAAATGAGAAATTCCATGTGTTTATTAGGATTTTAAAACATTCTTCCGGTTGTCATATGCAGTTATGAGGAACTAAACACACACATTTATTTCTATTTATTTAGTTCTAGCACTCTTACAGCTAGCTAAACACATCTCAAAATCAGATTCCTCCATCTATGCTAGAGCGCACGAATGGTGGATTCTGCACTGCCGGCTGTCGGACCACCCAAACAGTCATGGCGTCGGATAGGATGTAGTCACTGCTCTGCTGATCGTTTTTTACATTGGTGGCCCTGGCAGCACCACCAATGACTGCAACTTCATTCAATTCAACTGGAATTGGCTTTAATACGAGCCATGTATGGCTGCCGTAATTCCCAAAGGTGAGTGAATTAAAGTGATTTTATCTCACACATTTTCCTCCCAACATACTTCATTTAAAAATCATTTGGTTTGGAGTTTTCTCTTCTTTTTAAACATGAAATATTGAGTTTGTTTTCCTCATTCATTATCTCATTTTAGTATCTACTTTAAACTGCTTATTTTTCATAAAAAG